GCTCCAAATTCCCATCTTTTGTCCTTCTTGGATCAAATGAAGGTGAAAGGCACATGCGTCCAATTTACCTTTACTACCCCTACCCTCATCCACTTGAGAAAATGAATATCACAAGCCCTAAATGAATCAATTTTTTCTTTTAACATATAGATTGTTTATATATACCTCAACATTTGAAAGAAAATACAATAAATACAATATATATAATATTATATATATCATATATAAATTTTTTCCAAACGATAAAAAAACATTGATATATATAATTACACAAATTCTTGTATGAGGCTGACTATCTGTCGAGCAATGTCGACTCGTCATACCATTTCTAACATAACTGCATAATTACAATATTAAAACGCGAATGACTTACGCCGGCACGGAGGAGGGAAACGCAATTCCCCTGATCTTGACCCTTGGCTATGTGTGCCATCTCCTGCATGGGCCCCCCGTTGGAGAGTATGTCCCACTCGCTCCTCAAATGCTCGTTTCTAAGAAAGTCAAACAGCCGCTGGGGGCACACCGGAAGCCACACGGACGTGGCCGCGCTCAACACTACCCCGGGCGGCTCCCCCGGGTCGTCCAACGACTTCCGAGTCATCACACGGACATCCTTGTCGACATTTCCCGAGCCCAACTTGCTCCACTCGTGGACGGTCGAGGCGCAAACTCCCGCGCAAAAGTTGTTGGTCATGCGCTGCGCCAGCTTCAGCATGCTCCGGCGGCCGCCAGCTGTGATTGCTGAGCGCGTGTGGAAGTATAATTATTTTTAGAGATATGATATTATATTGAAGTTTTTTTTTTTTTGGGTTTAGGGTTAATTTTTAATTACCGGAGTGGTCTCGGGAGGCGGAGGAGGAGGAGGACATTAGAATGGCGAGGCACTCGCATCGGCGTTGAAGAGTGGCGACCCATCGGCGGGCACCAAAGCCAAGGCCGGTGGCGATCGACGGGCGATAGAGGTGGTGGACATGGCTCTCGTCGTATTCAGCGTGTTCGACCCATGTGACCTACACAAAGGAGATTGATTAATTAGGCATTAAATAGAAATTGACAAGAAATATTTCAAATGGAAGCTTGGAAATAAGATTTTTTTAGTTTTGTTTGGTTAAATTTAAAAAATGTGGCATAGTTAGTTGTTAGTGAGATTTTAAGTTTATATCTATATATATAAAATTGTAGGCTATTCATTTATTACAAAAGTAAAATTTTCCCGCCTAAATTTTTTAGCTCTTTTTAGTAAGTTTTAATTTTCTTTTGAATTTTCTTTTGTTATTGTTTATGGTTATATCATTAAATTTGTAACAAATACTATAATATTCATAAAATTGTAACGGTTATGTTTCAGAAATAAACTTAAGCATGTGATTTGTTATTTTGATAAATAATGAGTTATATTATATTTTGGTATAATCGTACAATATGACTATTATGTATCTTTTCTTTTGGTTGAAAAATAATTTTAATTTTGGACTTACATATTATTCATACTTAATTTAAATCATCTTGGATAGTACAATCGAGTTTCAAAATAACTATTTAGAAGTAATATATTGATTTCAAATTAGTCTTATTAAATAAATTATAAAAACAAGTCGTAACCCTATTAATTATTTTGCATTTTCCTATTTGTAGGGATTCCTTTATTATTTTGATGCGATTCTATGTCTTAAAAAAATCTATTTAAATTTTCAGCTTGGCAATGTAGATTTTATATTAACTTTTATTAGTTATTTTACTTTTTCTAAATTTTATTTTAAAATAAATGTGTAAGTGTTGATATGGACACAAATTCTACAAAGTAGTATATTAATGAATGTTATGGTTTTCCAATTTTGTTGTCATCTAAGTGCTAAAAAACTTTGTATCTTACAAGTTAGTTGAGATATTTTATAATGACCAATTTTTTTGTAATAAAAGTACTTAACATATATGTATCAAAATTATAAGTGAAAATTTATTAGATGAAATAATCCAAATTGTACATGTATTTTATTTTATTATTAATACAATTAAAACCATAAATATCTTAAAAAGATTAGCATTTACTATATAAAATTTATATTGTTCATTTCAAATTTATATTATTATTTTTACTTTGTGATACTTTTATGATTCGTATCATTATGATACTCAAAGTATATATAAATGATATTATTCATTATATCCATATAATAATTATTAGCATATGATAAATTTCTCATGATACTTTTTATTGAAATCTAAAATGTCAGCTAAGAGTAAGTAATGTAACAATGAAATTATAATTATGATAAACATTATTAATTTAATTTTTATTTTAATTGTATTTTCATATAAAATAATTATATTATTTTTTATGTTATTTGTGCATGTACACAGAATGACAACTAGTTGAAATAATATTTGAAATAAAATAATTAAAGTAGATCTGATGTATAAATATGAGAGAAATTATGATGTATAAATATGAGAGAAATGATGTGAAGTGATGGTTTGTCAAAATTATGTGAGTAGATAAATAGTGAACTAAAGTTGATGTAAAGTAGAAGAATGATCAATTGATATTATTTAATTATATTGATAATATTAAGAATAGTAGAGTTCGGTTAAACTTGAGTTAGATTTGAGTTAAATAAACGATCGGTTAAAAGTGATTGATTTTTTTTTTTTAAATCTTGTATCCAAACATGCTCTAAATTACTTGAATTACTTGGGATGTACATTTGAACCCAAAAAAAAAGAAGCTCCAAGTTTCATGCAATATACACACAAAAATTAAAAAAGAATCAGACTTAATGGTTAGATGCGATCTCACTTTTTCAACAGAAATAAATACTTCAAATTGAAATATCATAAGCAACATAAAAATAAATATGACA